TAAACAGGATTGCAGAATATGAATAATAAAACCAATGTTGAAAATCTCTCTGTGTCTGTCTCTCTCTCAGCATGAATGATTGCAGGCTTTAAGATTAGCTGGATGAATTTTCTCTCACTGTGCATGCCTTTTCATTAGGCTAGGGTAATTGTATAACTCTCTCATCCCTTTGTAGGCCACCAACACTTTGGAAATGTAACAATGCATCTCTGGCACACTGGTTCATTAAGCTTGGAGAACATTTAACTCATTCTAGAACACAGTAGGCTTTTGAAACTTGAATACTAAATGTAATTTCAGCAGCAAAATACCAATATTAGGAAATATCAGCACTGAAAAGGTCTACAACAAAGAGTCAATCATTCTTGTGAACCTGGGAAGAACGGTCCAAATTGATCTCACCATGGGGGAAAACACTTAAATCAAAAAGACCTTTCTTGATACAACACATGAAATCGTGGCTTCATAAAACCGGTATTAAAAGGCAGATAGAGGCCTAGTTTAGGCAGTGTTCTGAATGCTTTGAAAAGTTCCAGTATGAAAAGCAAATTCATTGATATATATGCACACACCACTATTACTTGCTTCTGAAATTAAAACTTGTTGTCTTATAAATATAAAATGAAGATACGTACATAACAAAACCCTGAAGCACGTTCACACAAAATGTGTGGTGTAAAATGGAAAAAGTAAACAGAAATTGTGTATAACAAAAAAAGGAAGGACCACAAAAATGGGATACAAAAACTTGGTATAAATATCTAGCTGACTACCGACTGCAAGATTATATTAGTGAAAGGAAAAGTTATTATAGGACGGGCCAAAACAGAAGGACCTGGAAGGCAAAATGGAAGGGTATCATTTCCAGAATAAAGAGGAAAGATAGATATAAGGAGTTAAATAAGACTATCCTCATGATTGAACAATTGTAATAAGTATAGCAAGAGTAGTAAACTTTCCTGAGCAGGGGGAGGGGAGGGGGAGGGGGATGTGGTGGTGGTGGGATTGGGGGAAAAATTCAGCATTATTTTGACTGCTGAATTTTGAGGATTGTATGTTTCTGTGTGTGTGTGTGTATGTGTATATATTTTGGGTTTATATATATATAAACCCAAAATAAATAAAATTAAAGATGAACATGCTAGAGCAGTGCTTCTCAATCTGGGGTCCCCAGCTGTTTTTGGCCTACATTTGGCCCAGCCATAGATTTTAACTGTGTGTTGTATTAATGTCATTGTATATTGCTTTTTTGTTTATGAGTTTTGTTTAATTGTTTTACTGTTGTTGTTATTGCTTGTATTGATGTATTGTGGGCTTGGCCTCATGTAAGCCGCACCGAGTCCCTTGGGGAGATGGCAGTGGGGTATAAGTAAATAAATATTATTATTATTATTATTATTATTATTATTATTATTATTATTACTATTACTATTATTATCTCCCAGAAATCCTAAGAGCTGGTAAACTGTCTGGGATTTCTGGGAGTTGTAGGCCAAAAACATCGGGGGACCCCAGGTTGAGAAGCACTGTGCTAGAGAATATCATACTTCAGTCAAAAATATGAACATATTATGCCATGTTTTGAAGAACAAACCAGCCAATATTAATGTTGTTACTGTTTTTAATATTATCTTTGTGGTATCTATTTTATTTTGATGAGGTGGGCAATATAGGGTAGTTTTTGCCCTACAGATCCTATTCAGATGGCTATGAATACTGCCTTTTTATATCAAAATGAGCAAAAACAAACAAATAACAGAGTATAAGGGAATAGTAAAATCCACACATTATTGTGTGGTAGAATCCATTACATCAGAAGCAAAACCTTTTGTTTTCCCTGGGTCACACTGGAAGAAAAAAGATTGTTTTGGGCCACACATAATATACACTAACACTAACAAAAAACAAATGAGAAAAAAAATCTGTGCATTATTTTTGACATATCCACCACCACAGATAAGCACAAAATGTCCTCATATAATAATCCTAATTATGCACCGCCCCATTTGGATGGTCTTTTAAAATCATTGAGCAGATCTTCCCGCTGAACTGTTTGTAATTATAATGCGAATTCCAGATAATACTTTGATCTTTGTAGATGTAACATACTCTAATGGTTTCATTCAATTCCACTGTTTTCTACAATGTTCATACTCAAAAAACACACAATTGATTTACAAAAAATGTTTTATGTTTAATGTTTCAAGTAAAGTTATGGTTTTGTGTTGTTGTCCTGCAGCCGATGGGCCACAGGGTGGACAAGCCTGCTATAGAGTAAGGTGTACTGGGAAATAAAACAGCAGTTTCAAAAGCAGTAGAAGCTTTGCATTGCCTTGTTAGGTGGAAACTGAAAGCACTACATTTTCTATTTTAGTATTGTAAGGATACTCCAGCTGGATATACACTGCCATATAATGTCGTTTGAACTGCATTGAACCGCATTATATGCCAGTTAAGGTCCAGCCAAAGTAAAAGTTTTCTCCCTGAAATGGAGATAACTTTTACTGTGCAAGGACTTTAAATCTCCTTAAAAGTAAACTGACTATTTTAAAAATAGGTTAATAATAATATATCATAAGACTTTTAGTGGGGGATCTGAAGTTAATCATATTTAATCAATCTTACTTCAACCAAAGTTTAATCAGCTTTGCATGCATGTAATCATTTATTTCTATATTTAACTAATAAAAATGTCTTCCCTCCCAAAGTGTAGCTTAGAAATGTGGCCCTCGGGCAAACCCAGTCCTACTTTCATTGCTCACTCATAAGGTTTTGTGAGTTTTACCTCCTCTGGCCGCAGCTCAAACATTCCTGAATGTGTAATAAAACAGCTCATCCAGAACAGGTGATACTTTCATTCCCTAAGCTGTATGTATTCTTGTGCAATTCAAAAGCATCTGTCCACTCAGGTTAGTCTTTTAACAGAGTCTATATTAGCAAAGAATCCATTATTTGTGATTAATATTACATATGGTAATTCATTTTGCATGACACATTTTGTATCTTTTCTGTAATGCAGACACACTCACCTTTAATACCATCACAAAATGGAAAGTATTCCTGGCTACAAAGGATATTTGTATTTCTGGACTTTGCAAAGACTTCAAGGCAATATTCAAATAAAGTGTACATCATATACCCTACTGCAAAGTTTCCTTGTCACTTCCATCTTCTTCATGTCCAACACATGAAAAAAAGTACTAGTTAATTTATCAGATGTGGCTTCAGAAAGTAATTGGGTAATCCAAATATATTTATTTACAAATGATATTTTAGCAATTGAGCATCTGTTAAATTGAGATTGTCATTATTTCAAGTATTGTTTTCATTTGACTATATTGTTGTTGTTCCAAAACTTACTTATTTTCTAAACTATTTAAAAAAATATTATAGATGATATATTCCTCACATGCTTCCTCTTCTATTTCTTGGTTCATGTGCTAATCTAATCTATAAGCATGCTTTAGGAGTACATCTAGATTCACTATTTAACACAGTTTTGAGTGGATTTCAAACTGCAGCAGCTAGAAAACACGCACTGCTAAACTTCACTATAGTGTGAATCAGAAAGTTTAAAGTGCATCAAGTCAAATTGCAGAAAAATCTGGGTTACTCCCCTTAATGCACTTTAGCAAGCTCAAAATCTCCTAAATCTAAATCACATTGCACAGTGAAATCAACTCTGCAGAATGCAAAGTGCTTTATAGACACCTGCCCACACTAGAACACATCTTAAAATTTGGATGGTGGAGGGCTGCAGAAAAACACCCAGAAAACATGACTGGGCAGCAGGAGGCTCATTATCTCCCTGGGACAGGTAATTGATGACCCCCATTGCTAATTATCATCTCTCTTTTTTCCTGTCTCTTAGCCTACAGTGCATGTCTCGCCAAGAAATAGAGAGAGGTGGGATACAGAAGCTTCATAAACTGGTTTGAGGTCACCTTCTGTGATTAAAGTAATCATCTTCTTGGCCTTAAGCCTGTTCTAGACATGTCAATCTAATCATCCACACACTAGTTTCTCCCAAACTGGTTCCAAATCTACCTAAGTGGTCAGTGGATATATGTCCTAGATTCTCAGCCTTTGATCTTCCATTTGTTTTGTCACTTCAGCTCACAAAACCCTCGACCAATATACCCAGCAATGATAGATTTTGGGAGCTGAAGTCCAAAATATCTGAAAGACCTTCAGTTGAAAACCACTGTATAAGATAATGCAATATGAACCAAAGTTTCTTCATTTTCCATTACCCACAGTATGATCTATTACCCTGAAAGGATGTTTATCATAATGCCATTTTTATGAAGTTTTTCATGTACTCCCAATGCAGAAGAACCACTCAGCAAATGCTCTTTACCAGAAGTTATAGGTCTGAGTTCTATCTAGAACAGCTATTTGCATATAATGTTGTGTCATGAGATACAACTTGTGTGGTATTTAATTCCCTACTAGGTACCACACAAGTTATATGTCATGGGTAGACTTAGTATATGAAAGCTTATTTTATTAACTTTTTCCTAGTTTGTCTCAAAGATGTTATGAGATCCCTCTATATATGAATTGTATCAATTCATTGAAGAAAAATCTTGAGAGAGAGGAGAAAGTCCATTTAATAAACAGATCACATAAAATATTTATTTATTTATTTACTACATTTATATCCTGCCCTTCTCACCCCAACAGGGACTCAGGGCATTCTATAATTATATTGTTCTATTCTAAAATAATAGAATAGAACAATATAATTAGTACAGGTATTACATCTGAATAAATCTTTCATGTATCTCTCCTACTTTTGCCCCCACTCTATATTTTGCTAATAAATTCCAACCATCCTTGTTACCTCGATATTCCGTACATCTTTGTATGCTGTCGATATGTGGAGAATCCTCTTACATGTGCAATTAGATCTATGTCTATAGAAAAAACAAAGGAGAACTAAAACATAACAGCCTATGCCAGTTACGGGTGGTTGGAGGCTTGGAAATGGAACTCACCAGAGTTGGGATCGGAGTTGCCATCAGCTTCGGTCCTCTTGTCTGGTGAGGCCTGATCGTAGAATTCGTCCTGCGGCTGAACCAGAGGGAGAGGGTGTGAGATCAGGGTTCCACTACCCACAGGCTCATGATCTCCTAGACCACTGTCACTGCAGCTTTCCTGGGAACCATCGGGGAGGTGAAACGTAACACGGCGCTGGGACTACAAAGAAGAGCACAGGACATCCTGGATTAGTGCTCTTCTTTTGTCTATGAGCAGTCTCTTTGAGAGATTCTTTCCTTGCATTACTTTTCAGGCTTTCCCCATACCCAGCACAACATCTCTTTGCATAACCAGTGTGGGAGACAAGCAGTCAGGATCACCAGGGTCAGCTTTGTGTATTCTGTGAATATACTTGCTTCTACTTTCTGTCTCTAGCCATCTGGGATTAAAATCCTTGTTGGTTTCATACTCTGAAGGAGATGCTTCTTTTTTCCTCACTAGTGAAACATTCAGAGGATTTGTGGGTGTGTGTACTCGCAAAGCAAAAGCATCTGAACTGGTTAAAAATGTATGTCAATTGCGAAAATGGTTTTATATGCCAACTGTTATTGCTGCTGTCTTGCTCTATGGACTGGGAAAAGGCATTGGATGGATTGTTTCTGTCTTTTTAAATAAAACTAACTTTTACGATTTTCTAAGTACGTGGGCTGTATTTCCCCAAAATGTATGTGCTTGCACACACAGATACGGTTGTGATTTATACCAACAGATTTTGCACAAACTGTGAACAGTTGGATGAAAAATAAAGTTGTTGACTTGTCATACAGGATGGAGATATCTCACATGAGTTGTTGATTTCTTTATTCTATCTATTTACCTACCTGGTATATTTGAAACATATTAATTAAATTGTCCTCTCCTTTTTGTCCTTCAATCAATAAGCTATTTTTTTTGTAGTCAACTAAGTATTTAAGGCATTCTTTTTTTAAAAAAAAAAGACTATCATTTTCTGCATTTTAATGAATTCTTAAAATTCATTAAAATTCATTAAAATTAAAGAACTTTTAAATTGAATTTTGTTTTTAAATTGAGGCATGAATTGTTTAATACTGCAAATAGTTTTAATGTTCAGTTTTTTATATATTTAATTTATATATTATTAAATTAAATTGTAAGTTGCTTTGAGTTGCAATTGAAAAGTGGGAAATAATAATAATAATAATAATAATAATAATAATAATAAGGGGGGAGAGATACGTTATGTTCTAACATTCATTGCAACATCAACAATAATACTGGGTGAGAAATGCTGCAATTTGTCAGAATGATGTAACATCTATCTGACACAGGCTATTCTGGCAGAATGGGCTCTTCAACACTAAACAATTATAACACCTTAACTGTCATGGCTACATGTTATATACTCCTGGAGAATGTATTTCAATGACACATGAAACACTAAAATTCCCTGAAATATATTTTTGAACTCTCCTCCCTGCACTACAAATCCCGGAATCCCATAGGATGGTGTCATGGCAGTTAAAGTGGAACCACAGTACTATAACTGGGTCCACTGTTACTAGAGAAGTTACACACTACCAGTCATTGTTTTTTCAAATTAATTATTATCAATGTAAAAAAACAAACCCTTAACACAGTAATTATAGATGAAAGTATGAAACATTCCATGACAAAAGATACAGGATATGTGAAAATGCACTTCTGCAAAGTACTATTTTCATAAAGTTGCTTTTATTGTTGTGCATCAAAACCTTCTTTAGCAGATACAACTAGAGTGGAAGATGCTACCACAGGCTCAAATCCATTTCATGTTACAGCAATTTGTCTTCAATTGTATCCACATGCTTCTACATAAAAGTAATCTGAGAAGGATGAAATTATCTGAATAGCTACATAAAAGTCCCTCTCTTATTCCTTCTTCTCCTGCAGCACAATATTACATAGATCTTAAGAATAAATGAGAATTGAAAGACTTTCTTTTCATTTCTTTCCAGGTACTATGGCTAGGATTAAAGGATATGCAGAGCAAATTGTGTCACTGTTTGGGATATATCCTTGTCTTTCCTTTAAAAAAATATTTTAGAAAGGAAAATGAAATTCCCAGTAAGCCTAAGTTCAAGGATTTCAGGTTGATATAAAGACAAATGCAGCACACACACACACAGCTATATCAATGTACACCCACACACATACATGCCCACATGCAGACACACACACATATGATGAAGGCATCAAAAGTTATTCTCTTATCATAAGGGACAAAGGAACAGCATGATAAGATTCAGTTCAGGTTTTTACCAACTGTGCATCTTTTGAACATAATGCCAATGCACAACAATGTACAACGTCAGTACAACAAATTATGTAATACCTTTTACTTTCCAAGTCATATCAATATATAGTCCATTTTGAGTTCACATTCCATGCAAATTTCAGATTGCATTGTGAGTTGATCTGTGGAATGTATTAATGGATAGTTTAACCCATTTCTATTACACTGTGGGTTTATTTTTACATGTGTCCAACTAAAGGTCTGGGTCATTAATATCTCTATTTAAACCTGTAATTTATAACTGTAATTCACCAAATATGTGCATTTAAATATTGGGAAGTTATTATCTTTGTCTACCCTGCTGCTAATTGGTACTAAGAACTCAGTATAGCACTTTAAGGCGCCTGCCTCTTCTGCTGCTAAATCGAACTAGCACTTACGCTCCCTCTCCCTATTCCTCCATGCCGCACTTTAGATAGCGCTTAGAGCCAGACTTGGGTATTGTTGCACTTTAAGATCCTTGCACTTTATGAATTGCCCTAGTGGCACGCAGCTGTGACGCCACTGTGGTTGCACTTTAAGACTCTTGCACTTTATGAACTATCTAACTATCGCAGCTGAGACGTTTACTACACTTTACTACTATCAATCTCACTGAAGTGTACTATTTCTACCCATGTGGTTCCCCATTCCCCTATTTGTATTGTCCCTGATATTAGTGACTAGTGGAAGGGGCAAGGGACGAAGTGGGCTGGAGGCCGTGGGTAACAATGAGGTGGGGAGGGGGAAGAAAGGGAATCAAGGAAGTTGGCAAGAAAAAACTCCAACAAACCAAACAACTATTAATGAAACAGAAATTAAGACCTTGGATTTGGACTGCGGCATGGAGGAGGGGAGGTGTTCCACTAGCCGAGGGGCCCCCATAGAGGTCGTGGTGGGGAGGGGGAGATGCGGGAAAAGGAGACCTCAAATTCGGCCTAATTCGGACCGCTTATCTACATTAATAATTCCAAACCGGTCTCCTATGGTAAATTGGTGTAACCAGGCTGGCGGGCCCTCCGGACTGAAGGTGGTGCTGTTGAACGCCAGATCTGTCAACGGAAAAACGACCTTTATCCAGGATCTAATCCTGGATGAGCGGGCAGATCTGGCGTGCATCACGGAGACCTGGTTGGATGAAGCTGGAGGCGTGAATCTAACCCAGCTTTGTCCTCCAGGCTTCTCCGTGCAGCACCAACCAAGGTCCGGAGGGCGGGGAGGCGGGGTCGCAGTGGTCTATAGAGATTCCATCCATCTGACTAGGAGTCCCATCCCGCAGTCAACAAATTTTGAATGCGTCCACCTGAGGGTGGGTGACCGGGACAGAATAGGGATTCTGTTAGTGTACCGTCCACCTCGCTGCACTACAGTCTCCCTACCTGAGCTAGCGGGGGTAGTCTCGAGCCTGGCGTTGGAGTCTCAACGGCTTCTTGTGCTGGGAGACTTCAATATCCATGCCGAGGCGACCCTCACAGGAGCGGCTCAGGACTTCATGTCTGCCATGGCAACCATGGGGCTGTCCCAACAAATATCTGGCCCCACCCACTGTGCTGGACATACATTGGACTTGGTTTTCTGCCAGGGATGGGAGCAGGGTGGCGGTGTGGAGGAGTTGTCCATCTCTCCGTTGCCATGGACTGACCACTTCCTGATCAGATTTAGGCTCACTGCGCCCCCCCAACCTCTGCAAAGGTGGAGGACCCATTAAGTTGGTCCGCCCCAGGAGGCTTATGGATCCGAATGGATTCCTGACGGCTCTTGGGGATTTTCCCGCCACCTCGGTAGGTGACCATGTCGAGGCCTTGGTCGCTCTCTGGAATGGAGAGATGGCCAGGGCAATTGACAGATCGCTCCGGAACGTCCCCTCTCAAGTAGCCGAGCTAAACCAGCTCCTTGGTTCACTGAGGAGCTGGCAGTGATGAAGCGAAGGAAGAGGGAACTAGAGAGCGTGTGGCGTTTGGATCCGAGCGAGTCAAATCGAACACGGTTTGTGTCCTTTCTAAGGGCATATGCCGCGGCAATAAAAGCCGGAAAGAAAACTTTCTTTGCGGCTACTATTGCGTCTGCAAGGAACCGTCCGGCGGAGTTGTTCCGGATTGTCAGAGGTCTTTTAACTCCCGCCACCTCAGGCGGGAGCCCTGACAATTCGGCCTCGCGCTGTGAAGCATTTGCTCGGTTCTTTGCAGACAAAGTCGCTTTGATCCGTTCTGGTCTGGACACCATATTAAATGCAGTCTCTGAGGATGTAACACGAGCACCTGCTTGTCCTATTTTGATGGATTCTTTTCAATTGGTGAAGCCTGAGGATGTGGACAAGATACTTGGAGGAATGAGGCCTACCACGTCCATCCTAGACCCCTGCCCATCCTGGCTTCTAAGGAGGCCAGAGGGGGATTGGCTGAGTGGGTAACAGTGGTGGTCAATGCCTCCCTTCGGGAAGGCAAGATTCCAGCGAGCTTAAAACAAGCTATAATAAAACTGCTGTTGAAAAAACCATCACTGGACCCCACTAAATTTGACAACTTTCGGCCAGTTTCCAATCTCCCCTTTTTGGGCAAAGTCATGGAAAGCGTGGTGGCCTCACAACTCCAGGTATTCTTGAGAGACACGGATTATCTGGATCCGGCACAGTCTGGTTTCAGACCGGGACATGGAACTGAGACGGTCTTGGTCGCCTTAGTGGATGATCTGCGCCGGGAGCTAGACAGGGGGAGTGTGTCCCTGTTGGTGCTCCTGGACCTCTCAGCGGCCTTCGATACCGTCGACCACGGTATCCTTCTGGGGCGCCTTGCGGAAATGGGCCTCGGGGGCCCTGTTGCAGTGGCTCCGGTCATTTCTGGAGGGCCGCACCCAGAAGGTGTTATTGGGGGACACCTGTTCAACGCCA